GAACTCGAGGTCCTGCAGTCCCCTAAGGAGCATACTCTCCAATGGCCTGAGGCCCTCCCTCGAGGCTCCACATCTGACCTGGCCGTACTACCCGGGAATCAAACCTTAAAACTACGTTAACATTGATATTAACACCAAAATTCAGCATCCTGTCCCTATCCCAAAGCTGCATGCCTGTTTCACAGTTTGAAATGCACCAAGCCCATCTTTAAGACTTGCCAAAGTCTTGTTTGTTCCAGCCTTGCTCTGCAGTTCGAAGTTGCTTTGGGGATTCAAAGCAAACTCAGCTGTGAGCAACTGCAGAAAGTATAAAAGAAATATCCATGCTTATAAGATACAATGGTGGAATACAACATCCCAAGGTGTACTTGGGCATGGTCTGCCAAGGGCATGGGTATCCCTAGCTTGTCACCCTGCAGGCTGCTGTGCATGTGGCCTCTCTGACAAGCTCATGTTGCACACTGCCTGTAGCTTCTCTCAGCAGGTGGTCCTTGCTCCTGGAAGCCTAACTTCCAAAGTCTCTACTGAAGCTTTGACGTCACCTTCACACATCACCCTACAATGGTTGACGGCCGAACTCTGGCTTATGCACTGTGTAGCCTTTTAGACTGCCTTTTGAAATTTCAATACCAGATACCAAAATCCGTATAGCATGTTGTCAAAATTAGTCTTGCATATATCATCGAGGTCTATTGTTCATATAAGCCATACAGGGTTCTGCTTCAAAAAAGAGCTGCAATGCTCCCTCAGGGACTTTCAGGCTGAACACAAGGAAACAAATCCTATAGTCTTGAGCCCAGAGGGTTCTCCAGGACTCTTCTCTAAAAAGATTCTTCCCTGGAAGGTCTTTGAAAGAATTCTGCATTTCTAAATATCTGAGCTTGTGAGAACTGCAGTCTTGACAACTTCGGAAATGCCTTTGGAACATTTTTCCTGGGCGCAGGCACCGAGGGGGTCCCTCTTTTCTGGCGTTTTCAGTTAATCCTAAAATGAATAATGCCTACAGTTTTAAAGCACCCTCCCTTAAAAGCAAAAGCGACAGTGCAGAGAAAAGTGACAGTGTAGAGTCCCTGGTTAAGACACGAACTAAGCTCACAGAGTTTGCTCACTGCGTTCACAACCTGTTCTTCACAAGCGAGTGATTGTTCTGTGTCACCGGATGAAAGGAGAGCTGATGGGACACAGACACTGTCCGGCAACCCTGCTTAGGCGAGTGCCCGCCGCGGGCTCACGGGTGTCAGGGTGGGGAAGGACTAGCACGTCACACAGGAGAGAGTAATACTGGTGCATGAAATGTAAATAAAATGGGTGTGTATCTGCTCTGTGGAGGTTCAAGTACTAGATTGGTGCTCAAAAATCCTCTACTTCAAAGTATCATTTAACAAACACTGAGGAAATGTTCAACATCCTTAGCTATCAGGGAAATGCAAATCAAAACAACTTAGATATCATCTTACACCTGTGAGAATGGCCAAGATCAAAAACACTAATGATTTCTTATGCTGGAGAGGATGTGGAGTAAGGGAAACACTCATCCGTTGCTTGTGGGAATGAAAACTTGTGCAACCACTTTGAAAATAAGTATGGCAGTTTCTCAGAAAATTAGGAATCAACCTACCTCAGGATCCAGCAATACCACTCTTGGGAATATACCCAAAAGATGCTCAATCATACTACAAAAGCATTTGTTCAACAATGTTCAAAGAAGAAATTATTTCTAATAGCCAGAACCTGGAAACAACTTAGATGCCCCTCAACTGAAGAGTGGATAAAGAAAGTGTGACACATTTACACATTAGAGTTCTACTCAGCAGTAAAAAACAATGACATCTTAAATTTTGCATGCAAATGGATGGAATTAGAAAACAATATCCTGAGTGAGGTAACCCAGACCCCCAAAAATGAATATAGTATGTACTCACTCATCAGTGGATACTAGCTATAAATAAAGAACATTGAGCCTATAGTTAATGATCCTAGGGAAGCTAAGTAATAAGGTAAGCCCAAAGAAAAACATATATAGACCCACCTCGAAATTGGAAACAGACAAGATCAACTGATAAAATTGGGAGCATGGGGGTGGGGGTAGAAGGAAGGGGAGAAAGGGAAGAGGAGGGGAGGAGAGTGGAAGAGAACTTGAGGGAATGGGATAGTCGAGATGGAGGAAGGATAGAGATGAGAGCAAGGAAAGAGATATCTTGATTGAGGGAGTCATTATGGGGTTATCAAGAAACCTGACTCTAGAAAAATCCTCAGGAATCCATAAGAATGACCCCAGCTAAGACCCTAAGCAATAGAGGAGAGGCTGGACAAACTGACCTTGCCCTATAGTCAGATTTAAATATCATCATAAAAACTTTGTTCAACAATAGATGGAAACAGAAGCAGAGGCCCACATCAGAGCACTGGACTGAGCTCCCTAGGTCCACTTGAAGAGGAGAAGGAATGAGAATATGAGCATAGAGGTCAAGACCATGAAGGGTTCATCTACTGAAACAGTTTACCTAAACTAATGGGAGCTCACCAACTCCAGCTGGACTGGGAAGGAACAAGCGTGGAACCAAATTAGTCCCTCTGAACGTGGCTGACAGTTGTATGGCTGGGGTAGACTGAGGGGCCACTGGCAGTGGCACTAGGATTTATCTCTACTGCATGTACTGGCTTTTTGGGATCCTATTCTCTTTGGATGTATACCTTGCCAAGCCTAGATGTGGTAGGGAAAGGCTTGGACCTCCCATAAAGCAAAGTGCCTTACCCTCTCTTAGGATTAGAGGGGGTGGGGTAGGAGGGTGTGTAGAGAGAATGGGAGGAGGGGAAGGAGTGCAAATTTGGATTGGTATTTTCTTTAACCTAATAAATAAAAAAACAGTAAAAAATAAACAAACACTGAGGGCAAAGATGAAATGACTACCAACAAGTCACAGCTAGTGAGTGCGCAGCAGAATAAAAGCTACAGGCACGCTCACTATAGAAAGTAACCATAGACTTGGGAAGTCTTCCCAGCCTATGACATAATGATTACTGCATTCCCTAAGGTCTGACAAGAAGATGGGGAGGACCCGAACAGGAGCTACCAAAATAAAAATGATGTAAATGGAAAACACAGTATGCATGCTAACCACACAGCCCAGCACACTAGGAAACAAAGGGGAAATATGTGATATATTTAAAATAAAATCAGCTCCAGCATACATACAGTTTCTTCAAAATCACTGGAGCTTAAGGTGATTGACCAAAGTCCCTTTGTATATTGGGCTGGTGACATCTCCATGACATCCTCTCACAAACCAGAAGGAGGCCAACAAGACATAAGGTGCAGGTCACTATGTCACTGAGACAGTCATCACCGGCTGACCAGTGTGCCAGGGGAAGCCCTGCCTACACTACAGAACAGCAACGAAAGAATTGGGTCTTATTACTGATTGACTTTACAAAGGATGGGGTCTCAACAAGAGAATCTTTTCAGATAGATGCGATCTTCCTGCATTACACAAAATGTATTGATTCATACATGGAATGGGGGTCCAGAAGGGCTCAATGGAAGAACACCACTGACTAGAATTTCAACACCAGGCTGTCTTTGAAGAATCATTAACAATAGAATACATTCCTCTAATTCTGAAATTTTTAACCAAGAGGGTATTTTTCTTTTCAAAGGAACACTATTATTTTACTTCTATTTTTTTTCTTTTTGGTTTTTCGAGACAGGGTTTCTCTGGGTAGCTTTGTAGCCTGTCCTGGAACTCACTCTTGTAGACCAGGCTGGCCTCAAACTCAAAAAAGATCTGCCTGCCTCTGCCTCCCAGGTGCTGGTATTAAAGTCATGTGGCACCATCACCTGGCTCATTTTCATTTTTAACAGAGATAGTTTGTAATGCCAGAATTAAAAGTAGCAGAAATCTTTTTACAAGGATAACTAAAGGCAAAATAGATAATTTGGGAAATTCTGCACCTTCTCTGTTTTCATCCTCATGGGGGCTATGTTTAAGGTCAATCTCCAGCAACTCAATTTTTCACATATATCTTTGCTTATCTTCCAGAAATTACCATTATTCTGTGTGGTAGTAATCTCTACTTTTCTCCCAGTAAACCTGAATCCCACCCTGTCCCTCAGCTTTGCTACCAGGGTCCGTGTCCTTACAAGGTTTGTTTTGCCATTAGGATGAAACGACTTTCATACTTATTAATATAAAAATTGACTACAACATGGTTGTTCATTTTTAAGGGTCACGTTTTCTTTTGACAAGCTGGATTATTGTTTTGAGGATTAAAATCATGGTCTGAAAAATTAAAGAAAGAAATCATCCAAGAATTTCTGCTTGTAGAATTTAATTGTCCTCTGTGCCTCAGGCCGTTGTGATTGCTTTGTCCATTTGCCCAGGAAACAACAGGGCGGTTCATAAACGAGATTGGGACTCCTGGCTCTGCAGTGATATTTTTAACAGAAGCTGAGATGGGAATTTGTAAATGGCATTTTGAAGGAAGAATAACTTAAGATGAAATATTTAACCCATCTCCTTATTAAGACAAAATTTGTGAGTCTAATTTCAGCCATTACTTTGTAATGAGTGCCCTCTAGTTCCTTAATTCGTCAATTTCCTCCATGCCGCTTGCATTAGCTGTGCACTTAGCTCCCTTCCTGCGCTGTCTCAGGCTCCGCTCGTGTTCTGTGCTGCCAGCTTCCTCCCAGCCAAGGACCACTGTCAAGTGGCTCTTGATTTCACAGCCTCATCCACTTAGGGGAAGAGAATGAGCTCATCAATAAATCTGAGCCCAGAGCCCCACCCCCACTGCAGAAGCCTGAGAAAAGCTGAGCAACATGCCACAGGGAGGAGAGTCATATTGCATATTCAGAAAGCCCACGTGGTAACGGGCAGGAAGCAAGAATAAAACGATTCCTATGAGATCGACATGCCAGTTAAATGGGAACTTGGAGATGTTTACTTTCTTCCATAGCTACCTTTGTCAGTGAAAATGACTCTTGCTTACACTATTTTCAGATGTGCCTTTGGAAGAGCTACATCATACAGCAATAGAGACACAGCTCTGTGGGAAAGCACTGGCGGGCGTAGGATGTGTAACAGAAGACACACTTCAAATGGTAAAGAAAATGATCTCTTTTGTGTTTATCAACTCAGCTTCAAAGGAAAGAAAGTGTTCTTGTCACTAGTGCCTTCAAACGAAGCGTTTGTGTCAGCGACGCAAGGCTTTCTCTGGTTTCTGACGGACACCACCACAAAGCTGGATCTACATGGATAAAAGCAAACTGACCACACACTTCAGTGCCCGGGACCTGCGGGATCAATGCTCAGCACAGTCCACTACCCTAGCCCCTGCTCACGTGGTCACCTAAACAGGCATGGAGCTGCCCTTGCCCGTGCTTAGAGCTTGACCAAACTAGGTTTCTCGCAGGGGTAAGTGCAGTCAGTCACTCTACCTCGTGAAGCACGGACGACCGCTACTGGAAAACTGGCAGTACTTCAGTTTTCAAAACAAACAAACAAACAAACAAATGATACTGTTTGCTACTTTTCATGATGACGTCACATCTTGTAATACCTGGAAAGAGTCAACATTGTGTTCTATGTAGCAGCTGTGAGAAAGTGCTTATACCTAAAGACAAATGCTTAAGAAGCCGGACATGGGTAAATGGAAAGAAGCAGAAATTCTTTCCCTCTGATCCCAGACGGTCAGACAACAGTTTGAAGGTGTTTTAAGAGCACAAAATAGCAAAATCAAGAAGAGTCACTGCTTCCCGGGCAGGACACTTGAGGAGGACAGACAGAGAGGCAGAGTTAGACTCAGTATGAATAGCAATGTCACTCCAGAGACTGGGACTTCAGGGCAGTTCCTTAAGTCACAGAATGGAAATAAGCAGAGAAGGACAGATGTGCTAACACTGTGGCGGTGACTGCAGGGATTTCACCTGCTTGATCTTGTTCCTCCAGAACACTCACTCCATACACGCTAGACCAAGAAGATGAGTACGGGACTCTGGAAATTCACAGATGGATTTTTTCCAATACAGAGATAAATAAAATATGACTCTACCAGCTTTCCTATAGCATGATTCATTGGGGATTCTGTGAATTATTTATTCCTGACTGTCTGCACAGCCTACTTACTCACTAAGCTTCAAAGCTATACGGTAAAATGGTAGAAACTTTCCTTAAACTGGTTCATCTAGGTAGACATTTGAAACGACTATATGATAGTGTGTGTGTGTGTGTGTGTGTATGTGTGTGTGTGTGTATATATA